GTTAATGTATGTTATTCATGCATGTATTTACGTATATCCGACTGACTACGATTTACCGACCAAAACTTTCTGCGAACGAGCCAATCTTGAAAGAATATTCAAAAAAAAAAAAACTTAACATTATTAATATATATGTACATATATGTAAATCAAGTATCCAAATACAGAAAATCTAACATTTTCTTGTTATGTATGTATTGATTACATGCAGAAGAAAATTAGTAATACAACAAAAAGTATAATTTTATCTTGATCTTAAGCTAATGTAAGGGTGGGCAGCAGGGAAAGCAGCAGTGATAGCATCAGTCTAAAAAACGAGTAAGGGTGAATAAGAAAAAGTTGATTTTTTGGGAAAAAACTGTCAATGCGTTATCGGAATTTTATTATTATTTTGCAGTTAATTACTGATAATGGAAATTAATGAAAATTGGTCAATGCTTGCTTTTAGATTAATACTATTGTTTTTTTTTATTATATGTATGGCGCAAGAAACTAGTTTATTTTTTAGGAGCAAAAGAAAGCAAACTAATGTATGTCTGTCGGTTTCTAAATTTAAAATTACGCAAAGAGTAGAACAATGCTTACTCATCTAACTGACATTTCATTGCTCGAGTCCCTTTAAATCACCCAAAGGATTTGATACTGGAACAAGAGAGAGAGTGTGCGTAGAATGTATAAACTTTGTAATGAGTGTTGGTGGTGCTATTTCTAATTGACGCGTATTTTGGAATCAAAATCACATTCTAGTTAAATAATTAAGATAATTTAAAGAATGCGACAATTAAAAATTTCTATTTAACAAAAATCAGCTGAACCTTTGCAAATTGTAGAGTTATTTATTTATTTATTTATTTAAGAGAAATGGAGTCAGAAAATCACGAAAAGAACAGTGACAATAATGCGATATATTAATAAATAATTAAGATAAATATACCGCCGAAATTCATTCAAGCAAGCGAGCAAACATCAAAAGCACACAAAAGCCCACGCCTAACATGGCGTATGGGAAAGTTAAATTTCTTTAATAATTTGAATAGTTACACTAGAGGTTCGCATCATTATCATCACTAACTAACTCATTTAATAATTTAAAATGGAACATAATAATTTTCACGAGTCATCAAAAAAAAATTATCATTGTTTTACGATGTTAATTAATTGATGTATGAATCATCGGTAATATCAATAGATATCTAGATAAAAAAATAGAGAAAGCAAGAAGCGGAGCGTATAAAACAAGAAACATTAAAAAGAGTATGACACACCGTAGATCAAAAAGAATGCACACAACCAATTATCTGCAGGTACACGATTATTATCATCATCATTATTATTATTATTATTCTACAATAGCAACAATACAAAACCATCGGTACCTAAACTTTACGTAAAAATATTAAAAATATTGCCATTGACATTGATTTCTTTACATATTTTATTTTCCAACGCGATGATAAAGAAGTTTCTATCCATCAATGAACATCATTATCGTTTCGTTGTCTTCGTTCTTTTTTCCCGCTCTTTTTTGATTAATTCGTTGTGTGTTACTTTCTTTTGCTCTTATGATCTTCTCTATCATCCATCTCGTAAATCACTGATCATAAAAAAAGGAAAAAAACCGACTGCTACACATAAATTTTTGTCCTACTCTAACCCCTTTTCTTTGAATTTGGTTATTTTATTCGACGATAGATAATGATGATGATGATGATGGTTACTGTGCCACCTCACTCCTTATCCTGGGCCCCATCTGCTAGCCCTCATTCAATTCATTTGTTGTTGTTCAGTCCTGGCGGTATTCGTGATATTCTTGTTCGTTGTTATCATGGTAGGTAGATGTCGTTGTTTCTCATTTGTAGTGTTTTCAAAACCTTTTTTTGCGCACTGTAAAAACGATGAATCTCTTGACTGCTGTTTTTTGCCAAATTAGAACACCGCTTGTAACGCCCAATTTATCAATACAATATGCCAGTTTCCTAATTCGGAAAATCGGTTTTTCCTTTGTGTGTATTCTTTTGCGTTGTGAAAAGTCTTCTTGTCTGTCTTTCTTGCTCTTTCATTCCTTTGAGGTTTCTTTTTTCCCCAAGATGAATAATTGACCGGATGATTGAATGAATATTCTTTTGTTCTCTATTTGAACAGCACTATTAAAAATTTAAACACAGTCGATCCTATTAAAAATTAATTATCTTACACCGCCACTTTTGCTCGTTATGCTATTTTAATTTCCTAAATTAATAACAATTAATGATGGATCAATCAACGATCACCACTAATTAAATTTATTATTAGTTTTCATTAATAAAACACAATAATAATAATTTTTATTATTCTTTAATTCCTCCATTGTCTGCACCCATCAAACACTATCATTAATTTTTGTGGATTTAGTAAAAGAAAATACTCGTGATATTTATCAATCTTTATCGTTGCTGTTTTCCCATCTCTCTCTATCAATAAATTTGATAGATAGTGACGGTGATTTTATTTATCGCCCCGAGTCGACTTATAATTTTGCAATTTCCCAGTGTTAAATCTTATATCGATATGTAAAATAAACTCAACATCTGACTAATAATAAATATTTCACACCACACAAACAAATAAATAATATCGTATTTCTCGTTTATAACTGGTTTCTTTTTTGGTTATATATTTTTCCTAACATTAAATGATTCTCCAAACTAAGATTACTCTACTAATTTGTCAACAACAACAACAACGCTCCAATCGATAATTCCTCATAATTCTCTCTCTCAGCGCGCGCTTGTTTCCTTACCATACACATTCTTTCGCGTTCTCTTTTTTACCATTCTCTATAAACTCACGAATCAATGCGACACAAAGGAAACAACCTCTCATATTATAATAAATGGAAATATATGAATGGTGTATCTATCTATATATTTTGGTGTATATATATATGTGAAACCAACCAGTTCTCGTATATTTTGGGAGATTATCCAAATTTAGACCTTTGTGCATTCGAAATTTTTCATTGGTTTTAACATTTATTATAAAAAAGTATTAAAAAGTATTTGATTTTCATTTGTGTCATGTTTAACATTCAATACCCAAAAATCAACAACATTCATCTTCCTCTGAGATACACATACACGACACACGTACGTACACAACCTGTTCCTTGTGCTTGTTTCACTTGATAAACAAGTAATTTACAAGAAGGTCGAATAGATTTTTTTCTTTTCCTACCTCGACTATAATATTTTATTATGTATATTATATAATGTTAAAAGAATTAAATTTTCTAATTGTTTGGATTGAGCGAAACTGGTCGCCCGTTTATTCTATTATATAATTTAGAATGTGTGTATGTACAATAGTAATAGTAATAATAATAATAATAATAATAATAATAATAATAATAATAATAATAAGAATAAGAATAAGAATAACGAATAATAAATAATATTAAGATGAGACATTAATTTCATTATTGTAATTATTAACGACAATATTAAATTTTTATGAGTACAATAATAATTTCCTTTTGATCAAATCAAATCTTTTCCAATTATATGCGAAAAAAGCGGATAATAATAAACAACGATGATAACGCCGAACCTATTCCAATTCCATTCTATTCTATAATAAATAACTTTTCGATTTCGTAATTGCTTATTATGGTAGATTCGTCTCGGTCGTCGTCGTCGTTACGATAATATTAATGATTATTTAATGATATTATTATTTTTGCTACCACAATTAATATTACCCTAAATAATAATAAATATTAATAAGTAAAAAAAAAAATAAACAATCCAACAGCCATTTTTATATATGTGGTATGTGTAAAATCTTCATATAATAAAACAGTCAATCGTCGGTCAAGATAAAATTGCTTTTTTTTTTTGTCCCCCTGTTCGTAATAATAAATATTTATTATTGTTATTATTATTCTTATTATTATTATTATTTATAATATTTATATGTTTAATAAATAAATAAATAAAATTTTTTATTATACTTTGCTTTACACAGATACACTAAAAGAAGAGTTTCAGTAACTCTAAAATACTTTATCGTCGTCACACCCCTTATCACCATCACATCACAATCTTCACTTTTTTAAATACAAGTCTCCACACTCAATTTTCCTTTCTTTTTTTCTCTTCTTTACACTACCAGTGCGAGAACTACTACTTCTCTTCTTCACGCTAATATAATAAATAGAAAATAGACTATTCTATCTACAATATAAAACACTAAGGACATATAAAGTGGTTCATTAGTGTCGAGAACAAAATTGAATTTTAAAGAATCGCGGCAATTGCTACAATAAACAACAATAAGAGAAGCAGAAACTGTACAGTGTCTTTGGGTGGGTATTAAATTCTTTTTCTTCATCGCGTGTGCGCAAGTGTATTATAATTGTCTTTGCAAAAAACTGCGTGACCGAAGCCAAGTGAATATGTGAAAATGCCAGAAAAGAGGAGAGTGTGTATGTATGTTCATTAGAAAGGCACGCGTCAGTGCGTGTCTGCTTTTTATCTTTCTTTTAATAACCGATAAATCTTGGTTTGATTCCTCAATGGTGTGCTTTTTACCCTATTTCGAATCATAATAAAATTAATAATCAATAAAATTCCATAAATAATTCACTTATTACCACACCCATCTTCATAATTTCATCTTTGATTTCACTTTTGATTACACTCCAAAGAAAAAGATATACAAAATCAATCATATATAATACACTTTTTACTTACCAAAGCTTTCTTATATTCTACTTGTATATCAATCGACCAACAAAAAACTCCGACTCCCACATACATATATATATACACACACATACATACATATATACATACATACATACATATTCTCATATACGCATTTTCACTACTTCATTACTTCTGCTGCTGTGTGTACATAATTGTTGAAAAAATAGAAAAGAGAAAAAGTAGAAAGGCAGATTGGCGGTACATACGCTTGCTTCATAACTAGACGTTTTTTTCAAATACGAATTTCACTTTATTATGGCTGGGTACCAGAATTCAACAACTAAGCTTTACAACGATTCTTCTTCTTTAACCAGCGCTTCCTACTCTCCACTTAATTCTAATCAATCTTTAATACAACTTCCTACTACGCCGACTTCTCCGGCGCCTTCATTCTCTAACTCTTCAACCACGAAAAACTCTATCACCACGAATTCCAACGCCAACAATAACTCTCCCTCCTCCACCACCAACTCACCAAAAACCATCACCTCCTCAAACAATTCTGCATCCACCACGCCCACAGCGAACAACAGCAACTCGAACTCTCCAGCTGCTTCACGCTCTTTAACCAATAATAACTCTTCTGCAAACAATTCTCCTTCTTCTAACCCTCAATCTTTAACCCACTCCTCCGCATTCACTCCATATCAAAATTCTCCTCAACATCCCACTCCGGTGACTACACCGACTTCAATACCAAAGAATCCGCTTTCTCAAGCATCACAACAACAAGATCCAACAATGATGACATCTCATTTGGACAATGGTTCAAGTCCTACTTTGGGTTACCCACCGCACACACATTTCACAAATCCAGCTACACCTTTTTGGTCTCCCCAATGGCCTGTTGGAGGAAATGGCACCAATGGAGTGGCCGTAGCCACCTTAGCTCAACAAGGTGGTGGTAGTGCTTTCATGCCTACTTATGGAGCTGGTGCTGGAGGTTCAATGCCACCGCACAGTCCTCGCCCAAAATTAACTACTACGATATGGGAAGATGAGGCCACATTGTGCTATCAGGTCGATGCTCGCGGAATTTGTGTGGCTAGACGTCAAGGTATTTTAAATTGAATTGAGTAATATATTACGATTTATTGTTTTCAAGTTGATCAACAAAACCATTAACACGTTGACTTTCCTACTTAAAATTTAGATAATGATATGATAAATGGGACCAAACTTCTAAATGTGGTAGGAATGTCTCGCGGTAAACGTGATGGTATACTGAAAAACGAAAAAGGACGTGTTGTCGTAAAAGTTGGTGCAATGCACCTTAAAGGTGTATGGTGAGTAATATTGAGTTTGCTCGTATAAAGGGTCGTTTATATTCAAGACTAATCGAACGAATGATATCGTCCAAATTACTAGGATCACCTTTCAACGAGCAAAAACCTTGGCGGCACAATTTAAGATCGGGGATATACTCTATCCGCTTTTCGTGGATGATCCGAGTGTATTTCTTCATAGCTCATATGCTGCTGCTCCGATGAATAGAATACCATCAATGGGTGCTGGCGCAGGTAATAGTCAATGGAGAGGTCAACATCCGTATGCCAACACATTCAATGGTCAATACGCTGAAGGACGACCGTGGGGTTATCCATACGGCAATAATAATCCAGTCGCCGGTATGTTGCCTCCCGCATCTGCATCACAAGGTAAGCATAAACAACCTTAACTGATAAATTTCGAATTAAGATTATATATAAATAATATGTTCATATCATTATTTAGCTTCAAGAAGTCATACACCACATCCCCCACACCTTGATGAGGACTACGCTAATAATTATAATCTGATGAATGGACAAAACCCACAAGGCCAGCCAGGGGGAGTTGTAGTTTCGAGTGGGGTAAGTTTTTTGCATATGTTGGTGCATGTTTTATGTAACTATTTATGAATTGATGATTAATTAAAATTTGAAATTTATTAGTCTTCATTTCCGGGAAGACCACCAGCTCAATATGAAGGTTCACCAAATTCCCAACCTCCATCTTCACAACAACAGCAACAGCAGCAGCAGCAGCAACAATCGCAGCAGCAACAACAGAGAACACCTACCACACCAATGTATACAAATGTCAAACAAGAAGAAGGAGCACCAAATAATGGAACATCTTTTTATCGACCTCCGGGACTTTATAATCTAGTTTCAGCTGCTGAAGTAGTTGGCGGAACAACCCCTCAATCTGGATCTCCCCAATTAATTGGACAAAAACGAGTATTTGATGGTGAAGAAAATGATGACTATAATAACGGTGTTAATAATTCGAATCAACCGAGCCCACCACTTGCTATGCATCCTCCACCGTTGAGTAATATAGCGGTTGCTAACACAATGAATGTTGCTAATTCGTTCCCAAGTCCATTAAATGTGAGCCCACAATCTTCACCCGGCTCATCGGCTTTCCAGGGATGGAATCACCCCGGAAAGAGAGTAAAATATGAATTTCCCGAAGCAACCACACCGCCATCTGCTCATTCATCACCGAGAATTGCGCCTGGATATCAATTACCTGGCCTCGGTGCGGGGCCATCAACTCCAGGATCAGCAACAACTCCTACACAACAATACACCAATAGTTCACTTCAAATGGTGACGAATGCTCAAGGTAGTCCACATCATTATTCATCATCAAGCGGAAATAATAATGGCCCAGCCACTGGTACCACAACACCAACGACGGAAGGTTTAGAGCGATACTTTCAGGATAGTGCAGCTTTAACTTCATCTTCACCCGAAAGTGGAGGCGTTGGTACGCCGGTAGAAGAGAATAGGCGCTACGAGCAATATTAAAGAGTGAATTTAATGGCTGGGGGATATAATAGATTTATAAATATATAAAATATAAACGGCAGAAATGACGATGGCGGGTTATATAATGTTTTTTTAGACAAAATTATAAACCTGAATATCCTTAAGTGATTCTTCAGCTTTACCTTCGCACAAATTGTTATGATTTCAAACTTTTTTCGACAAAAAAACAACTGAAAATTTCAAAGAAACATTTTACATTTCATTTTTTTCTGGTGGTCTTTACTTTTTTTTACTTCTATTTGACACATCACTATTACTCTTACCATTATTTTTGTGTCACATCTCGTTTCTCAATTTTTTTAATTTTTTTTTTCAAATGGACTTTTTTTAGAATTGCACTTTATTATACACAATTTCATTAGACAAGCGCTTTTTTGAGCACCCGAGAGGATAAAATATACACACTCCAACACACTACATACATACATAAATACAACAAACAAAACTCCTTTATAAATACAACACATACACACTTTATATATATAAAACGCCCCTCTCCCCAAAATCTAAGAAAAGTTGAAATATTGTTAAATACAAAACTAAAAAACATACATGTGAATTTGGATAAACATTAACAACTACAATAACAAAAGAGTCTGGTGGTTTCTTTTTTTAACTAATTCATCTAATTGTGGTGTGGTGATGGTGATGGTGTGTTAAATTTGCACGTGTAGTTTGATGTGGATGTGGGTGGGTGTGTGTGTACGCTCGAAAATTTGACCACCTTCGAATAGTATAAAAATCCTAGTTCAGGAAACTGAATAAATTCGTTATTATAAATGTATAATAAAAATATTTCAGGAATCTGCCTAGTTTTAAGCCTTTATTAAATAAAAGCCGAGTGAGACTTGGGCATAAAAACAATAAAAAAATGAATCTGAAGATTGCGGGATAGTATAATTACATTTATCTCGAGTCTTGCAACCATTACTAATTATGCTTTACATATTTATACAAAAAACATTTTCTTAACAAGTCGATTTTAAATGTGATTAAAGAATTAATTTTGTATTTTGATTTGAATCTGAAATAAATATTTGTTTATTTATTTGAATTAATATTTATAAAACTAATTTTCAGACAAAATCTGAAAAAAATGAAAAAACATAATACAAAAAATATAATATAATAAAAAAATACTAATATCTCAATATCTGATAATTAAAATATACTTGAAATTTTTTACTATTTATAATTAACAAATATATAGTTTTATTATATATAAAAGTTTTTAATTTTATTATAAATAGTTTTATTTTAACTTTTAATATATTTTTTAAATAAATTAAATTAAAACTTTTATATAATGAAAAAATATATTTTTACTAATTATAATTAATAAAAAATTCAAATATTATATTATTTTTAATTATTAATTTATATAAAATAAAATTTTAATTTTATCTTATTAAGTTATTAAATATTTAAATATAAAAATTTTTATTATTATATATCTTTAAATATAAGTAATCTTCAAATATAAGTAATCATCTCTTTTTAAGATCTAAAATTCTAAAAATATTATATATAAAATATAATAAATTTATATTCAAATATAAGTAATTCTCTCTCTTTATCCTGTCAAAATCTTGTATTTTTTGATTACTTATATTCAGAAATATATAATATATATTTTTTATAAAAAAATTTTATTAATAATAATTTTTTTTAATTATTATTTCTTAAATTTTACTTTATAAAATTTAATTAAAATTAATATAAAAATTATATAATAAATATTTAATTATTTAAAATTTTTATGAAATTTAGAATATATATTTATTAAATTTAAAATAAATTACTAATATAATTTGAAATTCTAATATTACAAATTGATAATAATAATATTTAAAATATTTTTTTTAAAAAAAATAATTTTATTTTAGTTTTTTTTTAATAAAATAGTACTTTATGTATTATTAATATAATAATTTTGATTGAATTATCTTCTTTAAGTCTAGATATTTATTTTACACTATCTATATAACAGCTTAACTTTTATATTACTTTTCTTAAAGATTAATTTTATTCTAGATACACAGATAATTATCTATATATTTAATATATTAAATTTAATATATTATCATACAGATAATTATTATATATATCTTTATTATTAATTGAAATAATTAATATTTTTAATTAAATTTCTTTTAATAATTCTTTTATAATTTTATTTATTCTTTTTTTATTATATTTATATTATTATTTATATTATTATTAATTTATTAAATTATGATTAATACTCTTTAAAAATGTAAATTAAGTTAATTAATTTTGTTAAATTATATGTATTCTAATTATAAATATTATTATTAATTTATTTATATTTTATATTTATTTTTTTCACTATAAATATATTTTTTCTGTTATATAAATTAATTTCAGATTTGAATATTATTCAAATAATAAAATCATAAATTTATAAATTAAAACTATTTATATTATATTTTATCTTATTTATAGTTATTAATAAAATAATCTTACAATTTAATAATAGTAGATATAGTTATTATAAATACTATTTCTAATAATTTACTATATTTTATATTATAGATACCTATATCTTACATATATTTAATTTAATAATTTTATTAAAAATAAATACTAAGTAATTTAATTAATTTATATAAAATATAACTAAACTTATCAAGATAGTAAAAGAAAATAATTTCTTTAATTTCAAGTTTTCATCTCATCTTTTAATTAAATTACTAGTATACTTAGAAAAACTAAATAAAAATATACTTGTTTAGATAATACAAGTTAAAATAGTTTTTTTAGCTTAAAAATTATAGATAAATTAATACAAGTATAATATATTATCATCTTCTTAATGAAGTAGTTTTATACTAATATTTAAATAAATATAAAGCTAATAATAATACTATATCATATAAAATCTGAAAAATATTTATTACAGTTCTTAAAAATATATTTCAGTCTCACATTATTAATAATATTTTCACAAATAACTTCATCTTCTTTATTAAATAGGATTTATACAAGATTATGATACAAAATTTAGAATTATAATTAGATAAATCAAGTTACTTATTTGATAAAAGATCTTAAATCTACTACAAAGATAAAAGTTAATTATCAGATATCAAAAACTTTAAAAGAAGCTTGAAAATTAATTATATATTATAATATTATTATATATAGATAAGACTAAAGATGATATTATAACTTGATCATAATTCTTTAATTAACTGTTACAATTAATTACAATTTTCTAATTGACTATTACAAGTCATAATTAATTGAGACAATATCTTTAGACAAGATAGATTATTAGATTTCTTAAATAGATATAATAATAATAGTTATCACTTTCAAAACTAACATAAAAATTATCAGAATAATAATTTAATATTAATAAAACTTAATCAAGCTAAAAGTTATTATAATAAAAAAATAATAACTAGCAGAAGAATAATAAATTCAAAGATATATATTATAATTATAATAAATTAGATTACTTTACAAAGAATTATTATTCAAAATCAAAAATCAAAATTACAAATATAAAAGACAAATAAAAAGAATTCTCTTAATCTTATTAAGAATAAAATTTACTTATTTAGAAGATAACTATAAAAGATTATTAAAGTTCAATAGTCAAGTAAATAATAAATCAGTATAAGTATTACTAAATAATAATATATCTAGAAATTTTATAAATAAGAATTTATATAGAAAAATAAAGTAAAAATTCAAAAAATAATATTAATACCTATTAAACTTGCTAATAACAAGAAAATTACTATTATTATCATGATAAATATTAATAAATTAAAGTTAGATACTTATAAAATATATAAAATAAATATATAGATATTAAAGTTATAAAGATATGATCTAATTCTAGATAAATCTTGACTATTTTATATTAATCTAATTATAAATTAAAAAAATAATATTATTACTTTTATCTATGAGTTTAAAATAATTAAAATATAAGTATAAGATTATTTTATTAATAATTATAAATAAAATAAAATATAATATAAATAGATTTAATTTATAATTTATGATTTTATTATTTAAGTATATTCAGATCTGAAGTTAAATTATAGAATAGATAGAACTTATTTATAAGAAAAGAAATAAATACAAAAAGTAAATAAATTAATAATGATTTATTTTTAAAATATATATAATTTAACAGAATTAATTAACTTAATTTATATTTTTAAAAGATAACTAATCATAATCTAATAATTAATAATATAATAAATAATAATAAATAATAATAAGTAAAAATATAAAAGAATAATTAAAAAAAATTTAATTAAAAATATTAATTAATTAAATTAATAATATAGATATACATAATAATTATCTATGTGATAATATATTAAATTTAATATATTAAATATATAAATAATTATTTATATATTCAGAATTAAATTAATCTTTATAAAAAGTGATACAAAAGCTAATCTATAATATAAATAGTACAAAATAAAGATCTGAACTAAAGAGAAATAATCTAATCAAAATTGTTACATATTCTCTTACTTAAAGTATAATATTCTTATTATATTTAAGTATATAATTTTTCAAAGATATTAATCTTCATCATGATATTTTTAAGTTATTCAGAGATTTTTATGTTATATTATAGAGAATAGAGATATTATCTTAACTAATTATAACTTATAATAGTTAATTAAAGAATTGTAATTAATTATAATAAAATTAAAATCAAATTGTAATATTATCTTTAATAGAAAAAATAGTCAAGCTATTTAACAAGATATTAAAATTTATAATAATAAATTTTTTTATCAAGAATATTCTTAATTTTATATTCTTCATTATTATCTGAAGTAATAATAACTAATGATAATTAATATTTATTATATTTATTATTTGAGAATGAAAAATTATTAATATAATAAGTTTAATTTCAAGTTATTTAAATAGTAATTTTCAAAATAACTTATAAATTTTGCATTTCTATTTGACAT